AAAAAAGGAAAAGCCACACTCTGAAGACTGGTGTCTATATTTGTGTCAGGAGAAGTCTGACTCCACTTCAGTCAGTCATACTCCTTTCAGACATGGTTGATGTTAGAGCGGGCTGACCTTTTCTCTAAAGCAAAATCTCTTATTGAGAACTTGTATTTAAATAGTATGGTGAGGACCTGAGGCAAATTAGATGTGAGAGCAGGATAAGGTATGTTAATTGACATTCTACACCCACTTTGTTTTAGCGTTAGTCTTCTTCTTTTTACCTCTGCTTGCTGAGCTGAGTTGTGACTTCTCTTTCAGTAATCTACAGCAGCTAGCCACAGGTACCATCTAGTGTGGTTCCAATGTTCAGTGTGGCCCTTCTTAGGGATCTGAATTTTTTTGCTTATTCAGGTTTGGGTTACGAGTAAGAATAGCTGATACTGTAGTTTTTCTGTACCTGGGAAACATCAGAATAAATAATTAATTGACTGTATGTGGCTTCAGCAGTGGGAATAGGAAAAGAGAAATACTTCAAGTTGAAATGGATGTTTGTTTCTTTAATGGTATTAAACTAAGAGCAGGAGATGATTTCTTGCCTTATAGATTTTTTTTTTTAAAGGTATGGCTTTTTACAGCAAGAGATTATTTATGGTAAGTAATAAGACATTAGATTACTTTTGAAGACAGATATAGGGGAGTAATTCCTATTGTGTTGCAGGCTTTCAACAGTGTAGCTTGGTTTTTCAAATTTTGGGTGCCTGTCTCTGAACTTTTCTGGCCTGTTTTGACAGCTGCTAAAAAGCCAGAGTATGCACCAATTCAGGTGAGAGATAGAAAAAATTGCTACATAAGTCCAGGTTCCCAGAATGGTGGACAGCATCTGAAGGTGTAGCTGGGGCATCTGTGCATTTCCATTCCCTCACCTCTGAAATGGGGATAGCAAACGCTGCCTTTGGAAGAAGTTAAGACCTAGTTAATAGTCTGGATGCTGAAAAGAACTTGTTCAGAAAGCAGAGCATTATAATTGGAAATGGGAGGATCTCAAGTGTCAGAGTTTAGGTTGACATGTTGAGCTTGCATGATAACCAGGTGGCAGAGAGGACTGTGGCATCTCTTGTTTGAAAAGTCCAGTGTTGTTTTAAATGAAATGCTGTTACTGGCTTCTGTTAAACAGAATCCATACTATAGTGTGAGCTGCCAGCTGCACAAATGTGGGATGAATTTTTCTTTTTTACAGAGAATTCTGTAAAATGAGACCTTGTTTGTTGCAAACACAAGCACCAGTGTGCTCAGATCGAAGAATTGCTCTAATGATCTTAGCCTGCAGTGACAATTATAATTAAATAGCTTGATGCATAGTAATGGTTGCTATCAAATTCTGTTCTGTGGGTGCTGAAGAGGGTAGGGCATAGAGCACCCATACAGTGCGCACTGAAGTACGGGCTCTTGCACAGAGCAGCCCTTCCCCTCTCTCCATGCTGCTTGTACAGGTGGAAGATTTTCTCTGTCCTTTGCACACTGTTGATATGGTGATATGTTGTGTGTTTGCATTTACAGGGAACTTGCGTGGATTTAACATGACAGCGCCAGCACTGCAGCAGTTTTTCCCTCAGGCTACAAGACATTCCCTCCTGGGGCCACCACCTGTTGGGGTCTCATTAAAGCCCACTCGGATGGGCTTTCCCAACCTTCCCTTCCAGCGGCAGAACCGGACCTATCGCAAGGTGGGCTTGGAGTTTCCAGCTGTTCAGGAGCTCTGTGCTCTGTTTGCATTTGCAGCAGTTGACTGTATTGTAGGTGGAGAACTAAAGAGAAAGGACAGAGCCTTACAATGAAAACTGTATTTGCACCATGCTGCGGAAATGCAGAAATCGGTCCATCCCTAAGGTTTTTGTGGTCCATATTTACATTTATGGTGCAAAGGTTTCTTGTCATTTCTTGCCCAAGAGAGGTAATTCCTCATGGCAGAACTGTTTAAACCTAAGATATAAAAGGAGCCTTTAGAAGTACCAGTTTCAAAGTAGTTACAAGTCCTGGCTGAGTGCTTTGCTCTTCACGGAGTCCAGAGTTCTGCCCCATTAGCCTTCCAGAGCAGTTTGCTCTTCCCAAGTGACTTGCTACTACCATGGACACATCACTCTGCCTCCCTGGGCTGTTTTATCTTTTTTGAGATCAAGATCATATCTATTCATGTGGCTTTTATAAAATTTACTAATTTTTATGTGTAAAAACCTTCCTCGCTTTCCACTATTAAGACCTCTTTCCAATCTTGAAAATGGTTCTTGGATTAATTGACAGGCACTTTTCTCCTCTTATGGTTAGCTTTTGCATATTTGATCCCATTCTGTCAAAGAGACGTGCTGGATAAGGTAGACTTGTACTTTTGGGGTGTCTTTTCTCCAGAGTCAAAAGGAAGGGGGATTATTTGGGACTCCTCTTTTTCCCTGCCAATGCATCTCTTACCAGAGTCCCTCTAAAGTGATCCTACTCTCTTGCAAGCAGCAAGATCTCCTACAGCTGCTACTTAAAGCACTAGAGAAATGTCACAAGCTGTCTGTGGTCTGGAGTTTAAAGTACATTGCTCTGTTTAACTGTGTCAGCTTGCCTGAAGCAAGGCAGTTTGTTGTAAACCATCTATTCCTTTCCTTTACTGTGTGCTGGAATTCCTGTTCCTGCCCCACAGTAAAAGCCTGGGGCTTTGGTCGGTGTGTTGGGTTTGAGGAAAGACCCAGAGCTGGCAGTGACTCTCTGCCCATTGCAGGACTTCCAGAGACTCCCTGACAGGAAGAGGGAGCTGGATCCTGGTTCTTCATCTCAGACACAGGGTGATGAGAAAATGGAAATCCCAGAGGGAGTGCAAGCAGGGTTGGAGCAGCACAACTCCTTGCCATCCACAGGTAGGAGGCAGCCTGTAGTGAAACAAATGCTTCTAGACATCATAATAAACTTCTCTTTGCTATTCTTGCAGCAAAGACTGGAGATGGCTTTAGTTTTAATCAGCTACGTTTCTCTGTAATTGTAAATGCCTAAACTGGCTGTGACAGCCCTCTGCTCTGTGCTTCACATATCCTTTTTTCATGGATGTTTTTGGTTTTCCTAAGCTAGCTCTGTATCTCTTGCATGAAAGCCTCTCTGAAGTCACTTTGAGAGTGAGCCCCATTTAAGATGGGGAAAAAGAATAAAACTGGTTTGAAATTAAAGCTTCCACATTGCTTTACTCATGCTGAACTCAACATCTCATGGAGTCCAACACGTGAACCAGTTGTAATCAGCATGCTAAGGAGAAGATTAATTGAATCAGTACTTGTACTCCAGCTGTCAGAACAGAAACTGCTGGCACTGAATCTCTTACAGTACAGATGTGGGAATGTTATTTCTGACTGAAGAATCTAACAATGCAGGCATATGGTGAAGTTGTGACCTGTGTGTATGCAGTAAGGAAAATTACCTGATTAAATAGCTGCTGTCAGGTCGATTCGCCACCTTGGCTTATATTAATGTTCCTGTGACCTGGGCTCTTGTCAGCTAGGTGTAGGACTAAGACCCACTTAGTAGATATAAACACAGATTTCTTCCTGAACATCACCTCAGACAGTGACATCTGCAATAACACTCAAATCTCTTAAGTCATTGTCTAACCTTGTCACTACAATCCTTAAATTCAGAATAAGCCAGTGTAGTATTATTTGCTCTAACAGAGTTTTACTGGCATTGGCCATTCAGTTAGGGAACATGCTCAAGGTGGCATGGTCTGCTTTGCTAAGGAGATCTCATTTTGTGTTCCTGCAGAGCCAAGAACTCCAGCAGAATCTGTGTTGAACATGGAGCCTGCAGCAAAAAGACTGAAGAGGTATTTATTGAATGGGGTATTGAAATAGTTACTGGGTTTAGAATTACTGTCTGATTTTATTTTCTAATAATTAAGGCTGTACTGGCCTGATGTCTAGCATGTAGGAGGTATTTCAGATGCTCCTGGATAGTTCAGAAAAATCTCATAATGCTTGTTGAGATCCAGGGTGTTGTACGGTGTCTGCTCTATGGGAATGAAAAATAAGAGATGCAGCTTATGTAAATCTGCAACAAAGCAGACTTTGCTCGTGTGTTCTCCTGCCAGGATTCATCTTCTTTTCTATTCTGATATATTTCTCTAATTTTCTTCTCTAAATGTCAAAAAGGGAAGCGAGCAGCCATGTATCAGCAGAGAGGAAAAGCCTTGGAATATGTTAGATTACAGTAGGTGTAGGAGAGGGTAGTTTATTTTGAGGAATGAGAAAGGGAAAGGAATCAGTACTCCCTAGTATCTAAGCCTGTATCCATGAGCACCGAGTTCTGTATCCCTTCTGCAAAGATTGTCCTGCCAGTACCTCTGTCTTTTGGCTAAATACAGACAAAGACGATCCTATTATCCACAAGGGATGCGCAGCATGCAGGCACGCTGGCCATGGCAAGCCTGTCCTGGCTTCCCTGCCTCCCTGGGTGCAGGAAGGAACAGCCAAGGCTGTATTGCCATCTAGTGGGAAGGCACGTCACGGAGCTCCTGGTGCCATCTGCACGGTCCTGTGCCTCTCCCAGAACTGTCACTGTTGGCTGGTGCAGGGGGAGAAGAGGAGGGAGTGAATACAGATTTCTGGAGGCATCGATTTGAGAATTCTCCAACATATGTTGGTGACTATGAGTCAGGACTCCTGGGTCCTCTTATCTTCCCTGTTAACAATTCACCTCATGGTTTTGGACAAGTTTCTTCACCTCTCTGTTTCCCATCTGTAGGTTAGAGATTAATGGCTAGCTGTAGGGAGAATATTCCAGGGTTACTTTGATGTTCAGATATTACCTTGATGTTGTAAAACTTTAAGGAGTGATAAATATTACGTGACCAGGGACCATCGTTGAAGTATGGACTCTGATTATCAAGAAAGTGAATAAATTCAATTAAAGCTAAGTCAAATGCATTTGAGGGTATGCTTTGTTAATCTGTTTGCCAAAGCTAATTTAATTTTAATTACATTAATATTTAGTAGGCTATTAATCAAAGTCCTGTTACATATACTGAAAAAAAATCAAGTCTGAGGAATGACAGATCTCACTGCAGCAAGCCTGCTATTAGGAAAATCCTTAGTAGTTGAGGACTGCCAGATTTGATGCATATATTATGGCTGGTATTTACTTACAATAGATCATTCCTTAGCTTTTTTTTTTTTTAAGGGTTTCTATTTACTTCCAATGAACAGATGATGGATCTCTGAAAAAAAAATAGTTTATTGTTCTCATATTGCCCTTCACAGATGAGAAGGGCATTCCCCGCATCCATATCACAAAGTTTTGGTTCATGCTTCATTGTTCCATTTCCCTTTGGCCAGGAATACCAGCCTCCTTCTTCATTTCAGGTTTTTCCCTCTTCTGCCTTTTCTCCTATGTACCATCTGCATGCCTGGAACAACATCCTCATTCCAGTGCAGAAAGCACTCATCGTCTTCAAATCCTCCTTGAACACCCACTTCTTCTTGCATGGCCTGACAAGTATCCATATAATACCATTTCCTCCTTAGATCATGCTCATGATGGCTTTTGCTCCCTTAGATTGCTCCTTAGATTTGCAACTTAGGCTGCAAACCCTTGCCCTGGAGTGCTGTCACCATCTGTGTGTGGTAGAGTGTTGAGCCTGCTGGCAGCACTTGACAAATAATGTGAATGCCAGCCACTCTTGTTTTCTTCGTGTTTGCACTGCCCAAACCCTGCTGCATATTTATAGCCATGTAACCCAGTTACATTATCACTTATCAGTCTGATAAATTATGCGGTGCCTCTGTGTTTGGATCACTGGATGCAGTACCTGCACAGTCTGTGTTCCTGCTCGTGTGGGACCTGCTGCTCCCTGGTGGCAGAAGGACACCAGTGGGTGGGATATCGAGCTGGCCTGAGAGAGAAGACATTCAAGCTGTGGTGGAAAGTGTGTTAGCCCTGATGGAAAAATGGGGGATGGAGAAAGACATTGTAAAGTACGCTTTGTGCCCTCTGCAAATCAACAGTTCATTCTCAGCAGACCCCTCAGGATCTTTTTTTTCTCCTTAGCAGATCACCAGTACCAAATAAACCAAAGTAAAGTCTTTTTGATTTGTGTCTTGTACAGCTCTGCTTCCCCCACAAGCAGAACTGTAGAGACTCTGGAATGAAACACGACTGATACACAAATAGAGCAGACGGTTATGATGAAATCCCTGTAAGACAGCACTGAGGACCTGTTCAGTTCTGACAGGTCTCTGTGTGTTCCCTCGTGCACAGAGCAGCCTGGAGTACTGTCCAGGTATTGCAGTTTCCCTGCAGGTCACCAATCAAGACTGGAGTCTTTTTTTAGACTAGAGCTTTTATTAAGAATATTTCCTATATGAACTTATTTCCCTGCAGACCTCTTGCAGGAGAGGGCAGTGATCCAAAAAATCAGTTGTAACCTTCTTGTCCAGTTATTGATTTGGAGGTTTCATGGAGAGTGTGGTAGCTTAGACCCCAGCCTGTGCCTTGATGTGTCTTCTGAATCTCTTACTCTGTAACATAGCAAATAAAGTTATTTTCTTGATCTCCTTGAAGTGCAACCGGGGAGTCTGCATTAGAGGATGCAACAGACAGCAGGGAAGCAGGGGAGTCAAGCACCCACGTCCAAGCTGATGGTGAGTTGCTGGGCACTGTGATTTGCACTTTTAGGGCACTCCTTGTTGGAACTGCACCTGTAGGTCAGCATCTGTAGATCCTATGGGTCTCATCAGGAATATCCTTACTCCAGTCATACGGAATGGGGAAAGGAGGAGAAAATCTAGGAACCAAATCCAAACATAATCCCCTAAAAGCTGCTGCTATGGCCTACCAGATGGAAATGATGGGAAATTTCCCTCTTTAGTAAGGATTTCTTTGGAGAAAGGTTTGTGAACTGGGCTTATGGCAAACAGCACTATGAGGAAAGCTCCCTGACTTCATTCACCTGCTGCTTTGTTTTTTCTGTTATTTTGATTTAATGCAGCTAAAAGGACTCTCTCTTCCTAGGTACAGACAATGTAAAGGAATACACAGCTGAAGATCTCTCTAAAGAGAGGAAATTCTCTGAGGAACCAAAGGCTCCTGAGGTGAGTAGACACTGTTTTATGCAGACTAGGGTGGTGCAGAACATCCAGCCTCCCCCTCCATCCCAGAGAAACCCGTTGCTACTGGGAACCAGATGGCACCCACGTCTGGAGCTCTGTCTCCTGCTGTAAGCTGTTGTCCCTGGCAATAAGGCATAATATATCTGCAATTAGTGCACAGTCTGCTCTGACTTGCTGCTTTTGTACCTCTGCTAGCCTGTACCTTACCTACTGCTGGCTGTTTGTGGATGCTGGAGTTCATTAAGATTTCAGTATTCATCTAGAAAGATGGAAAATTGAATTGAAAGAGCCACTGAAAAATATATGTATTGATAGCCATGGGTAAAGACATCTTTTATGTTGCTGAAGAGCAGATGTAAAATCTGTAAGCAGCCAAAGATTTAACCCATGGTATGAATCAGACTTGATAGTCTTCCATAACTGGAGACATTTGTGGATGTGATTGAATGTATCATCCTGCTTCAGTTCCATCAGGTGTGGTGCTGAGTTGCCTTTAGTTCTGCAGTGGAGAAATGTGAGCTGATTGTGTCCCTTACCAACACAGTGTTTGTTGCTTTAGTCTCCAGAGACTGGATCACACAGTGTCTACAGAGGCTGTGGAGACAACCATCTGTACTAATGGGCCTGGTGCTATGACACAGGGATTACTGATTTAGCAGTGTTGGGAGGAGGAGTGTGTATGAGAGTCTTTCTGATCAGCCTCCTGTGGATTTAAACTAAATTCATTTTTTTGAGGGGTAGAGAGCTTAGGTCACATACAAAAAGCAAGTGTAATTTTTAGTGTCTTCTACTGTGACATTAGACTTAACCTTGACTCCTTCTGTTGGCAGGTGTTGAGCTCTGGAGGTTCACTAAAAGTGACTATCCAGCAGAGCAGTGAAAGCAGAGCTATCAGTACCACAGCTCTGAAACCAGGGCACTGGACCTGCGAGGTGGGCACAGCGGACCCCAGCCCCGAGTCAGTCCTTAAATTCTACTGTTATATCTGCAAAACCAACTGCTGCAGTCAGCAGGTAAAATCCAGAGGGCTGACTGGGATATGGGTAGTCAAGAGAAGTGAATTGGATGGCCAACTGCCATGGGGAGGTGCAGCAGGAGACTTGTTAGCAAGGGCTCATGCCTCAGGAACAAGGAACGTAAAAAAATGATGGCAAGCATGCAGATTAAAAAAAGCCTCTCCCGAGGAGCTGGCAAGCAACCTGCTAGAGAGTGAATGTGGGTGGATCTGCAGGCAGCCATGCTCTTAAGCTTTTATACCATTTCATTGTTAAACAGCAGTCAAGAGAATGGAAAGCATAGCTCTTACCTATTATTTTTGGTATTTTTAATATATTTAAATGGATTTTTCTCTTAACCTCTCTCTCAGAATTTCCAATCCCACATGGCTGGAATTCAGCACCAGCAGCGACTTGGGGAGATTCAGCACATGAGCAATGTTTGTTTTGTTTCACTGCTGCCCATGGTGAAGGAGCAGAAGGTTCTGGCAGAGAAAGATGGGTAAGTGTTGGTCTGTGCTAGAAAACACAATCTGAATGTGGACCTACATGGGTTCTAAAATTCCTCACTGCACCCGAGTGCCCCTGTGTTCTAGGTGAGGTACAAAATCCCTCTGGTTTCAGGGGCCTTAATCTCCTTCAGGAAACTTACTTTCTGCTGAAGGATACCAGTGTTCACTTGGACCTGCTGTGTAGTTTTTAATACAGTAGCTCAACTTGGAGACTTGTTTTAACTCGTGCCTTTCTGTCAGGATGAGCTAAAGCAAGCTGTATCAGTGTCTGGGAAGGGAAGAGAAATCTGAGCCTGTAAAGACAGGAATGCTGGGGAAAACAATGCCAAGAACAGATTGCAAACTGCAGTATTCCATGGAGAATGTAAAAAGGTGTGACTTACAGATATATCTGCTCTCACTTCAGAGAGACCCAGCAGCGATGGTGTAACACTTGTCAGATACACTTCACAGGGGATCTAATCAAACATCGCAGGACCCAAGAACACAAGGTAACAACCATAGCATGGATTTCATCTTCACACTGACCTTTCTTGGGGATTGAGTGGAAGTGTCTAGCATCTCCTGCTCCCCAAGCAGCAAAGGAAAAGTGATTGGAGAGATGCGCATAAAGTTCTGCCAGTAACATCCTCACTGTCTAAGGCCACTGCCGTGCTGCCTCCTGCCTCTGAACGCTGTCACTGATTGAACTTCAGTTGTCTTGCTATGTCAGTATGGCCTGAAGCGCCTCTAATTTATAATTCTTGACTTTTCTCAATAAATATGGCCTATCATACTCACCTACTATCATACTCACCTACTATCATACTCACCTACTATCATACTCACCTACTATCATACTCACCTACTATCATACTCACCTACTATCATACTCACCTACTATCATACTCACCTACTATCATACTCACCTACTAACTATCATACTCACTATCATACTCACCTACTATCATACTCACCTACTATCATACTCACCTACTATCATACTCACCTACTATCATACTCACCTACTATCATACTCACCTACTATCATACTCACCTACTATCATGCTCACCTAATCAATTGAATGGAGGAATTGGTGGGCAGCCTGTAAATTTTCAAGCTAAAATTTGGGCAGGCCATCATACTCACTGGCTCCTAGGGGAGGAGTGCCAGAACACCTTTTATAAGCCACATTGTTTTGCTCTGCATGTTTTCTGTCTTTTTGGCAGATACGAGCTAGGGAGTCCTTTCTGCTGAGAACAAGACTGTCTTTTTGTGGTCTCTCTGTTTTAGATGCAGGGCTGTGGCTTTGTTTCACTCAAGATTTATCTGCATTTCTCCAAAGTGGTTCCTGTTGTGACTTAACGAATCGTCCCTCTTTCCTTAGCTGGCGAAACGTTCACTTCGTCCTTTCTGCACTGTCTGCAGCCGCCACTTCAAGACCCCTCGCAAGTTTGTGGAGCATATGAAGTCCCCTGAGCACAAACAGAAAGCCAAAGAGGTAATTACTGCCTGAGTGGAGAGCTGCACAGGACTGGAAGCAGCTATACTGTGGAGCAGGTTAACTCTCTGCTTCCCTGACTATTGCTGGGATGAAAGGGAGATGGGCAGTTCTTCCAGCCCTGTTATAATTTTCGTCTTTGGCTGGACTTCACTTGTTAGAGCTTAAAGAAATGGAGTGAAAAAAGGGACAAGGAGTTAGATGTGTCTAGAAGTGAGGTAGCTTTGTTCCTCTCTTGCAGTCCTATCAAATGCAGTCTGTTCAGAGTCTGGGGTCTTCCCTGGTTAAATGGAGAGTGCAAAGCTGATCTGATCTTTCTGTTCTGTACTTGACAGGTGAGGCTAGGAGAGAAGGACTTGGGCAGCCCAGAAGATTCAGAGGAGTTGATCACAGTGGATGCTGTTGGCTGTTTTGAAGATGATGATGATGAAGAGGAGGAGGAGGAGGGGGGAGCTGGTGAGGAGGAAGACCTCGATGTGGTTCTCATCGAGAATGAGGATTCTGCTGCCAAGCAGGTATGCCATGCAAAGGGAGAAGGAATTATCTACGTGGGAGTCTGCTGTGGGATCCTGTGGCTCAGTTGGTCTTGGCTGGAAGAGCTCAGGGTTTCAAGAGTCCAGTCAACTTTGCACTCTGTTGCAGAATGGTGAGGGCTCTGGAATTCTTCCAGAGCACAGGACGATGTAAAAGAGAATCAGGCAGTAGGTGTGGGATGCGGGAAGTGTTTTTGCTGTGCTGTACAGCTCCTACTGCTGTCTTCAAACATTACCTTGTTGTTGAGGAGCATAAGCAACGTTTTTTCAAGGGAAAGGATTTCTGACAAAGACACTGACATAGTCTCTTTGAATAACCTAGCAGCAGCTTGGTCTCATAGCAAACGTGCGTTGAGGCTTTTCTTGATAAATACTTTCCCAGTAGAGAGCAGTTACCAGGTAGGAGGTACATGGCTAAGCTGCTTCAGGCTTGGAGGGCATTTTAAGCCTTGTAATGAAGTAATGAACTTGCTGACACTGGTTTTTGTGTCTGGTCCTAACCAGATGCTGTGCAACTCCATCTCTGGTATGTGAGTCCTCTGTTTTGCTCCCAAGCTTAACCAGAAAAATGTTAAGAGCCCAGGAAGGGAATTGCCATAGCTACAGTAGGCACTAATGTTCTTTTGGTTTCCAGACTGGGCTGAAGGAAGTGTCATTGGAGGATTACGAAGGAAGGGAGAAGTATTGTCCAGACACAGCCTATGGTAAGCGAGCAGAGTTAAGCACAAAGGCCCACCGAGCCTTCTTTGGCCACATGCTGTATCTGTAAGAGAGGATGGTCTCTACCTACTGCTGTAATGACTTCTTGGGCCGTAGTACTCAGCATCTGCATCGGACTGCTGCAGGTCACTCCTGCCTGGGGAAAGGGCCAAACGTTGCTTTATTACTGTGTGATAAAACATAAGGATGTGATTGATGTTTGTCAGCTGCCTTTTGCTTTGAAGAAGAAATGATGAGAGCCAGATACCTTACTAAGGTAGGAAATGGAACGACTAGGGCAGGAGCACTGAAGGGAGTAGTTAGCAAATGAGGGATGCTCTAGAAAGATGGAGCTGAAAGCATGTTGATTAGAATGCTTTCCAACAGAGCTGCAGCTTCTGTAGAGGTACTGAGCAGTACTGACAGTATCAGACTCTGTGCCAGAGCCCAAACTGTGCATGTTTTCTCTGCTTCAGAACCCCCACGCTTTACCTAGCAGTTACTCAGACACATTGCTGGACTGGTGGGCAGTGTTGCCTCCAGATGGCTGACTCTGGTCCCCACCCTGTAAGCACTTCTGACTTCAGACCTCTAACAGCCACTGGTGTTGTGAGGAGGGCAACTCTGCAGAGGCTGTTTTGTGCCCAAGGAGAGCTCTGTTTACACCAATCTTCCATATCGCTGTAACCTTCCACTCTCGTGTGGCAGATGGAATAATGATTCATGCTGTGAATGTTCTCTGCGTGTTCCTCTTGCGCGCCTGCTGTCTTCTGCTTGGTTTGATCCCGTTACATTAGATCACATGTTCTCTGTAGTTTTCCATTGTATTCTTTTTTCCTTCCTCCCGCCCTTAATGCTCTGTGTAGTTTCTTTGCTCTGGCAGCCAGATTTCTCTCTGAATATCAACCACACAGCCATTCCATGGTAAGATGAGATATTCAGCAAGTCATCTTGCAAATCCCTGATTAACAGAAGCAAAGCTTTCTACTTTTCTTTTTCTCCCTCCCCTTCCCTCCCTTTCCCTTCCCTTTTAACATGCTTTCATTATTTGAGTTCCATTCAATGTGATCTGTGATTTCCCTTCCCCTCCCGTTTCGCAGGCCTGGATTTTCTGGTCCCCGTCGCAGGTTACCTCTGCAGGCTGTGTCACAAATTCTACCATAGCGACTCTGCTGCCCGGCTCGCACACTGCAAGTCCCTGATGCATTTTGAGAACTTTCAGGTTAGACCCTTTGGCGATTGCATGGCCTGGCATTTGTTACCCCCGTGCGTGTCTCTTCAGCGAATCCACCACGTTAGCTGTCTTGTCTTCAGTTCATTTCCATCATCCTTGGTGTCCATTGTGCCATAGCTTTCTCCTGGTGTGCTCTGTGTTTGTCTCCCATCACCCCTCTGGATCTAAAACCAGTCCAGTCCTGCTTCCCAGCTACTGCTGCTGTCATCTTGTTGCCTGTTTCTGGCTGGAAATCTTCCTCAGAGTGTTTGCTCTGTTTGCTGAACCTGTGGAGTCTGTCGTTCAGTCTAGGCCTCTTCTGTTAGATTACAGGTTGGTCAAGATGGGGGAAGAACAAGAGACAGAGGCTGTTCCTTGTAAAGACAGCTGGTACCTACACATCTTTCCATGCGATAACTGGAGTAGCAGCTCCTTTAGCCAAAATTGTGTGTGTGATTCATCTGTGAAGGGGCCTGGTAAAATCAGATATTCACCCTAGAAATCTGGAACTTTAACTTTACAGACTCTTTATGTGATGGAAGCTACAAGCTGGTGAGATTCCGTTTGGTCCCCAGGGTCAGCCTGCAACAGGAATTCAGTCTGTCTGTCTGTCTGCTGCCCTTTCCTACAAACTCCTTAGCACAAAGCTCTGCCAACCGATGCTGTTCCTTTGCTTTACTCAAAAGCCGTATTGCCCTTTGCTGCTTTCATATATAGAAGCTTTTCCTACTGGGCTGGCCTGGAATCTGCCTCCATCATTCTGTCCTTGTTGACTCGCCAGGGCGTGAAGGACCTGGATTAGTACCTTGTAGTGGGTATGCAGGGCTTGCATTGTCTCTGTCCTCTCCTGTGACCACTGCCTGGGCCCTGCCTGTGCAGGAGAGCGGTATTCCCCGACCCTGGCAAGGAGGGAGGCTCCCACACTGACTTTGTCCTCTGCCTGCACCCAGATCCTGCTCCAACAAAAACCATTGTGCTTCCCTACCACATATGTATCCAGCTTTTGTTAGTGTTTAAGGACAAAGTGATTTCCTGCTCGTTTTCAGACAGGTTGACTATTCCTTGTCAACTGTCACTGCCTCCAGCAAGGGCTGGGTACTGCCAGTATTTAGGAGCAGTGGATTTGGAATGGCAAGTAGCAGAAGACCACAGCTGTTCCTTCAGGATGGCTCATCCTTTCCCTCTCCCACACCTAGTCATTTCAGGAATTAAGGAATCAGCCTTGCAGTTTTCCTGGCTTATTTTATATCAGCTTAGAGTGAAACTGCAGCAGCAGTGTGTATGCCTCCCTTTTGGCCCACTTAGAGATGAAATCAGACGCTCTTTCAAATGGATGCCAGAGTGACCTGGAGGGATTTATTTATGACAAAAGTCCAACCTTAAATACCTGCAGGCAGAAAACTATTACTTTTGGCTCCCTAGGTGCCTTGAGGTTGTCACAGTCCAAGTTTAATCATTGTCAGTTTCTGGAGTACTTTGTTATCAGAGTAGCTCAGCAGAGGGTTTCAAAGCAGAGAATTGCCTGCTAGTAAGGCAGTTCACAGCATCCCTCTGAAAACAAATTGGCATGCTTGCACCTGGGTTAGTTTGTGTGCAACATTATGACTCCAGCTGATCTAGTTCCAGTGTGTTATGATATTGTGCATATCATATCTGCATCCTCTATTTGAGGACAGGGAAAGAACAAGACTGTGGTGATAAACTGAATTACAATGCAAAGCTGCCCATCTGCTGTGCTGTAATTCCACACTGCAGATTACAGTAGCGCTGCTTAAGGCCACGGTGAAAGGCAATGAGCTCAAAATAGTTTCCTTAAATTGTAAGGTCCAGTGCTCATGCCAGTTCCAGGGATCCTTTAGCAGAAAGCTGAAGGTGAGATGATTGTGGAGGGAAATGCTATGGAAAAGAAGGAGCTTTGTTTTGTTCCTTTAGCTCATGCTCTGTCTGGGTCTTGCAGACCAGATTCCTACTGCATATTAGACAGATGTACAGAGTTGCTGTTTTTCTGAAATCCAGTCTTAAAATGGCTAGTAGCCATTTGAATCTCTTTACAGACCTCTACTGGTTCATCATAATAGCGAGTGCAAATGAGTCATTTTATTGATGATATCATTACCTTTATTCTGTGGAGAACCTCAGTACCTTGTAACAGGAAGATATTCTTGATATCTTAGTGTTCCTGTTAACAGTTTCACCAGCTGCACAGATTGTATCAGTGGTGTGAAAAATCTTAAGCTTTCAACTTAAGTCTTGCTTTAGCTGATAAACATTAAATCACATCTCTGTAGCTGAGGGCAGTTGGTAGCCCCATGTATCCAGGGCATATGTCCAGAGTTACGTCCTGGCAGTAGCTGAAGCAAGAGCTGTCACTTGCACTGTTACATCTACAAAGTCCTGAGTCTGACTGAGATTAACAGTTGCCAAAACATGATTTTTGTCTCAGGAGCCACAGGTCTGCCATGCACTTGCTCAGCATTAAGTAATGCGAGAAGGACTTCAATTTTTAATATCGCCACTTTTCCTCACAGGAGCTGACCCTTCTCTGCTTGAAAGCCTCAGCAGCCAGGCCAGGAGAGCTGCTGAGACAAGTCGAGTCCCTGCAGATTCTAGCTGCCACTCATCACTGTTTTTGTACAGGTTTTCCTGGACCAGCTGCTACTTGCTGCAGTGACAGTAGCTGAGCTGGACTTGTCTCTCACGTTGGTTTGTTTGTATTTGCAGAGATACAAGGCAGCGAGGCATCGCGCCGCAGCTGCCTACCCCGAAGCTCCTTTGCATTCCCAGGGCTCCAGCTCCCAATTGCTGGATGATCCAAAACACCCTCCTGCTACAACAGCAGATACCAGCAAGAAGCTGAATGATGATCATGGGAGAGACAAGGAGGGTACAGAGCTGTCAGCCCTGCAAGACCAAGCTTCAAGGTCTCCAGAGGGTAAGGGTGAGCTGGCCACCTCTGTAGTAGAGGACAAGAGCCTAGCCAGTGTGACTGACGATGTATGTGGAATCATGGTTGTAGAAGAAGAAAATCTACAGGAAGAGAGCAAATCCACTACCACTAGTGCCGATTGCCCACTCCCCGAGGAGAATCGCACCGTAGGGGAGTTGCTGGGACACGCTCTGTCTAAGGAGGAGGAAGCCAATGCAGCCAGACAAAGGGAAGGCACAGACAACTGCCAGGATCCAGGGAATGGAGGAGGTTTAGGACAGAATGAGGCAGACAACACAGGCCAGGAGGCAGTGGCAGAGCCTTCCTCCCTAGCCAAAGGTGAGACAGCCAGTCTTACCTCTGCTGGGTCCAGACGCTCTACTAGGCGCAAACCCAGATAGAGTGGCCTTAAAGGGAGAGCCCTTTACATATGAAATTTGCTGGAAATGTTTATTTTCGGAGTCTTTTAATAGAGCAAAAACCTTCAACTTTACTGCTGTTTTTATTTTAAGAATAAAATGAGCCTGGCTTTAGCGTGTCTAATACAGGATGGTGTTGGTTATTACTTGTACAGTAAGACTGAGGCTTGGATTGTTGAACCTGAAAGAAGATGGTAATATGATTTCTATAGGGGACAAAGTTCAAGAAGTAGATGGATGCAGACTTATTTTTGACTAAGAATTCTTTGTAGTTCCTCTTGTTTCCTGTCCAGGCAGAGGAAAAGTTTCTCTTGTGAGACTGTGTGTCCAATTCTGCTCCTTAGAACAGTTTCCTTTCAAAGATGCACACTCTTGGGACAAGCAGTGTCCTAAGCTAGGCAACAGTGTGCACCTTGGTTCTTTGTTAATACTACAAGGCTTAATTTGGTCTGTTCTCATAGTGGAGACTCTCAGGAACAAATTTTGTTTCAAACTGATTTTAATAAAACAGATTTATTATAAATAACTTCTTTAACTTTCCAAAAAACTCCTTTAACTCTACAGAAGTAGAACAGTAGACTGGCTGGTTGCTCTGTATAGCTCAGGCTGTGGTGGGGGCTAACCAGGCTGCTCTGCCTTTCTCTCTAAAGCCTGAGTCCTTAATGGCAGCTTAAGGAGTTAGGCAGCTTCCAACTATAACAGTCAAAAGCATCACCCTGGTAGCTTGTCTTGGAAGGCGACAGAAGAGTCCAATGATCTGGGACTATCTGCCAATTATTTATTACACCACAGTTAATGTGAATAATGGGGAAGGTGTAGTTTCAAGGCAGGAGGTGGCCTAGGGCACCATCTCTCAAAGTCTGTCACCAGAGTTACACTTGGGGGCAAACCTGGAGTCAGGACAGCCCCTGCCTGCTGTGCTTTCTGAGGGAAGAGTCTGGAGCCATAACACTCCTTGCTTGGATTTAACAGTACAAAACAGCAGAGATTATTTTTCCTCTTTGCGTTGAGGGCCTGCTTGCAAACAACCTGTGTGGCATCAGGCTTCCTACAGCCAGCTTTAACCAAGTGTCAGTGCCAGGCTCATGTTGGGGAGTGAAAAAAAAACCCCAACTCCCCTACATCTACCTGTGTGCCTCGGCACCTGTCACACAGCTAAAGAAAAACAGAACGTGGAGGTGAATGGCAGGACACAGTCACAGGAAGGAACAAGTAACAGGCACCAGGTACCTCTCCTATTCACGTTTTACGTTAAATCGGTGACCAGTAAATGTCCCCTTAGCAACACCAACTGAGAGTCTGTGGCCAGCACACTAGACGGGAGGCTGTGATCCCTGCACATCGGTTTCCATGTTCTGCTGCTCACTCTGCTGCTGGAACTCCAGGCGGGTCTGGCGGTTGGACTCCAGCAGTTCTTTCAAGCAGGCGTGTAGATAATCGTTCTTCTCCTCCAGGTGATCCAAGCAGGAGTTGATCTGGTCCAGCATGGAGTTTATTGCTGCGTATTCTAAAAGGAAGGGAAATGAGAGACTGAACAATGTAAGTATATTGTCACTGCAGTCAGTGAAGGCAGCAAGAGCTCTTGCAAAACACACCCACAACATTTTGGCTGTGCCTTATCTGCCACTGGATGTGTGAAGTAAAATGGAACTGAATCCTGCATGTGTTGTGTTCACTGATCAAACAAGACCAACGGGAAGCTGGAGGACTGGTAACAAGACCTAAGGCAGGGTACCTGTGGGCAGTCCAAACCCGTTCTGTGCCCATCTGACAGCCTTTGATCTCATAGGTAAATAGCTGAGCACAGGCTGAGCGCTATCGCGCAGCGATCTGCACTGCAACGTACCAAATACACCCCAAGGACAAGTTAGCCTTTTTAGCTGCCTTGGGGATCATCTTTCCTGATGAGGGTGCAGGCATTCTGGCAGCGTGCTGAAGTGTTTACTACATTCTGTGAATTATTTGTGTAAGGCTCCAGGCTGGGATGTGCTTCACAACAGCCTGGCTGGGGTCAGGCTGCCAAAACAGCCCAGCCGTGGCTGTGGCAGGAGCAGGGACGAGCCCAAAGGTGCTGGTAGCGGCACCATTATTTCCAAAGGGAGGTGAGCGTGGGGCACCAAAGATTTTCACGCACCGTTAAGGCTTTGGGTACTTCAGATTAAAACCAAACTAATGTGAGATGATCCCGTTGGTTCCCTAGGTCCAGTTTCTTACAGCATTAGTTTCAAGTCAGAAGTATGAGCCTCAGCACAATGGCATTTCACAGTGGCACACTGTTAATCACATGAAGATAGCTGTGCTACTGTGATGAAATACTTCCTTTTGGACTGCTCCAAGCCATATTCACACAATCCTAAAGAATAACCAAAAAAATCAAACTGAAAAATCAGACAAGATAAACCTCTGCTGCCAGGTTACTCGGGAACCCCAGGGGGTTACAGGGGACCCCAGGCAGAGCTGGTCCCACGTTACTGAAGCTGCCCAGGCCGAGCGAGCGCAGGGAAGCAGGCATCGAGCTGTGACCCACGGGCTGATGTTTGTGAGGATCATGGGCTGTGGGACAGGGAAAGATGCTGCGTGGGTGGGACAAGCCCACACCTCACTGGCCGGGGCTGGCTCCTCCTGAGGGACGCAGTGCCTGGCTGGAGCGCTGCTCTGAGCCCACGGAGAACACGCAGAAAGTGAGGAGGATGAGGGTCGAGCTGTGCTGAAATCCCCCAGCCTCACAAGCTCAGCTTTGCCCCTCCTGGCTGCTCACAAAGCCCTGGCTAATTCCAGGCAGAACAACTTCATGCAGAGACTTGCTGTCGATCAGATTTAGCGACTTTCTCTGTGTCTCAACTCCCCAAAACATTCTGCAACGTGAATCACTGTGATGATGGAAAGCAGTGAACGCTCTCGGGGTATTTCAGGGCAGAAATGATCCACTGCAGGAGGATCCCAGCCGCAGCTACGACATTTACCTGTGCAGGTCACAGCTCAAAACTGGTGTTTTGGGAAACAGCACAACCGAACTCCTCACTGTTTTCAAAAGAACAGTAGCAAAGTGAAATCTGAAAGATTTCCAGTTTTAAGAGGGACCCACACACACGCATGACAGCTCTGCCATTGCTCTGCTTCCTCCATGGGCTTTTTCTAACGGGACAGGACGGTATCAGAACTGTCACACCCAGGCACTGCAGAAATGCCCCAAAGTGGAACTGACCAAGCTAATTGCATTAAATTCACTTTTTCCACCCATAACTCCTTCTCCCAGACCTGCCCGTGTGACTTGTCCTGCGGTTTCACACTCTGAGCGTCCTC